AAGAGGTAAACTGGACCTAACACAGCACTGTAAGTACCACAAAACGAAAGGCCAGGAATGCAGGTTTCACACCCAGCTCTGCTACCATACAGCTGTGTAGTGACAGGAAAAAGTCATTTAAATGTCCTCACCTTTCCTCACCATGTGCAAGATGCAGGGATTTAAATTAGCTAGTCTCAATTCTGTGATTGTGACATATGAACTATGAACTAAAAAGGATTACAAAATTGTTCCCCACCCAGTTCTCCATCTTAGCCTATTTTAAATCCCACTATCTAAATAAATACAATGTAGAATAACAATCATGTCAATACAACATGGTGTATGAACTGTCCAAGTTGTGCACTGCACAAATAAATCTGTGTATTTACTCTAACAGTTCTAGCAGGTAGCAACCAAATGCCTTGTTCTTCGAAAAATAAAATCACTAAATTATTACAAGTCGTTCACAAAGTGTCTTTGGAAGGGCCTTTGCACAAAGGTTGTGTGTGGCCTGGGCAGTGGCCCAGATACCCATCGGGGTTCCAACTGACCACCCACACCACAACGCAGGCACACAGAATACAGTCAGTGGATGGAGCACCGTGTAGGCCATTGAGACCAAAGTCCTTACCTCTGCCTGCTTACATCTCTGCACTGCTTGAGACTGTCATTCTCCAATGTCTCCAGTGCCAGGGAAGGGAACAGGTTTTTGATAAATAATGACAAATGAATGTGTGTCATGGATATACATGCACAGATAAAACTTTTACATTACTCTCTTGAGAGCAATGCAAAGTAGAAAGAGATGACATAGTTATTCAAGAGAAAGCAGCTATCAAAATTGTAAGGGAAAGAAAACTCCAAGTAGAAGTCAGGAGACATCTATTTTACTCTCTGTATATCCTCAGTGCCTTAATTGCTTTAAAAAACCTATTTGTTGAATTTACTACTTGACTATAAGAATGAATGAATAGGCCGGGCGCAGTGGCTCATGCCTATAATCCCAGCACTTTGGGAGGCTGAGGAGAGTGCATCAGGAGGTCAGGAGTTTTGAGACCTGTCTTGAAACCCAGTCTCTATTAAAAATACAAAAAATTAGCCAGGGCATTGTGGCGGGCACCTGTAGTCCCAGCTACTTGGGAGGCTGAGGCAGGAGAATGGCGTGAACCCAGGAGGCATAGCTTGAACTGGTGTGAACAGTGAACTGAGATGGCGCCACTGCTCCAGCCCGGGCGACAGAGCAAGGCTCTTGTCTCAAAAAAAAAAAAAAATTAAAACTAAAATTAAAAAAAAAATAAACAAATAGCACTGACTTAGGATTGATTGGCTATATGCCATCTCTGGGCAATGGAATACGAGCAAGTGTAAATGCGCTTTCCCTTGCCCCTCTTTGGCCCACCACAAGCAAGTCCACACTCAAGCAGCCACTGCTGTCTGGAACTAGGCTCCAGAATGACAAACACGAAGCCCACCTGAGCCCAATCTGAAGGCTAGAGACAAGTTCAGCTGACTCTTGAATGAGAAAAATAAATGCTGTTTTAATAAGCTACTGTTGGCATGGTTAAATGCAACACTATTCTGGCAAGTGAATAAAATAAGGAATTTTTTTTTTTTTAAACTGTTTGAGGCACTTAGAAAAAAGACTCGAAGTAGTAATTAAAAGTATTCATTCTGGTCGGGCACGGTGACTCACACCTGTAATCCCAGGACTTTGGGAGGCCGGCAGGCAGATGACAAGGCCAGGAGATCGAGACCATCGTGGCTAACATGATGAAACCCCGTCTCTACTAAAAATACAAAAAATTAGCCAGGCATGGTGTCACGCACCTGTAGTCCCAGCTACTGGGGAGGCTGAGGCAGGAGAACGGCACAAACCCAGGGGGCAGAGCTTGCAGTGAGCCAAGATCACGCCACTGCACTCCAGCCTGGGCGACAGAGCGAGACTCCGTCTCACTTAAAAAATAAAAATAAAGTATTCCAGCAGCCCTGGAAAGAAAACATGATTGGGCCATGTAATTAAATCTCCACGCTCTGAACTTGGGTGGATACAGAGTAAGACTTACAGAAAACAAGTGTGATATAAAGCCACTTCCCTCCAATAATCATTCAGAGATGCCCTAACCATCAGCCCTTCCTGAAAGATAATGGAGTTGCTACTTCCTAGTGAAATGTTGTCCCTTCCCCCCGCAGTTATATAACAAATTTCTAAATCAAATTGGTACCCCAGCAGGGACAAGTTTGCATCCTCTTCGTGGAGCCAGCGGCCCTTGTCATTCCCCTGATTTTAGTACCGCAGCCACCAAAATAAGCCCACTATTAACCTCACCAAATGAAAAAGGAAGAATATTCCAAACTAAAACTGAACGTAAAAGAATACCACCTATTTATGCATTCGAATGAAGGGTCACAGCAATTTATGATAGCAACCAAACTGGTAGGGGACAACTTGTTAGGACACAAAAGGAGAAAAAGTATACCACAACTCAAATGTACAGCACCCAAGTCCTTCAAGAAGTACCTGAATTCAAAAGAAAAAGTGAGGAAACAAACACCGCAGAATGAAGGAAACTATCTGACAATTGTTGTCTTTCCAAACCACAACTCCTTGTTCCTTCCCCTTAGAATACACCCCCCCTTTGCATGAAGTCCCTCGCCTAAAGAACATCACTTTAACAAACATAGACCTATTCTAAGATGTTCAAAACTACAAAATAGCCTATATATTAACATTTACTTAAACTGCTGTAAATC